CATATATATGTCAATATCCTTTTACCTTAATTTGACTAAAAAAAAAAAAAAGAGTCATGCTACCAAATGCTTGATTAACAATTAATTAATATAAATTCATCTAAATATCAAATTCAGAACGGATTATAAATCTATTACTATATAATAGAGTGAAGACAAAATACAAAAATAGTACCTAAGTTTTTCGCTCATTTTTTCATTTTTTACCAATAATAGAATTTTATTTTTTAAATTTTTTGGGAGAATCCCGCCCATGATTCTTATTCAAATTTTTTGAATTTTTTTGAATAAAAAATAAATTCAAACATTTAAAGGAAATATTACAAACAGATTTTTTGGGTACATTACATTATATCTTAACTTCCATATAAACACATTCCTAACAACTAGTTAATATGATATTTTTTTATCCAAGTTATCTAATAGGGTATTTTAAGATATAATTAGTATAATATTTTATTTAATTAATTATACGATTATTCTGACGGATATAATTACTAAAATATTGATTATTTTAGAAAATTTTTAAAAAATAAATTTGAGTTATCATACCATTCACTTTATATGAAATTCAAAATTACATATTTTAATATGTTAATAAACTTTTATTATTTATTTTTTTTCTTGTGTGATATAATATAAATTCGATATTAAATTTTTAAATCCCAACATTTAAAGAAAAATATCCTAAACAGATTTTTTAGGGTAAAATTCATTTTATCTTGAATTTCATCATATAATCACATTCCTAACAAACTAATTAATATTATATCTTTTATCTACATTATCTAACCAATTTTTTTATGGTATAATTAATATAATATCTTAAGTAATTAATCATTTATCTAACCAGATTTATCTCTCTAACAAACTTGCAAATTTTTTAAAATTAAAATGGTATGATTATTCTTGCGGATATACTTATCAATATATTAAACATTTAGATTTTTTTTTTTTTAAAAAATGTGTTATCCCTCCTTTTACTTTATGTGAAATTCTAAGTTATATTTTTAAATATAGTATTATTATTTTTTATGTGTAAATATTTATTATTTATTATCTAAGTGATTAATATTATTAATTCATCTTTTTAATAAATGTTTATTATTTTTTTTCCGTGCCTGATATAATCTAAATTTGGTTATTAGAATTTTAAATTCAACATTTAAAGGAAAAGATCGCAATCAGATTTTTTGGATAAATTTTATTTTATCTTAATTTTCATATAATCACATCTATATATATATAAAAAGATTTACCATTTTTCGAAAATGGCAGGTCAACCTTAGTCAAATTTTAATTAGCTTTAATTACTTACTATTTTTAGTAACTTTTTTTATATTTTTATTTTTCATAAAATCTGGCAAGCCCTGAAATTAGGGAAGTTGTTACATTTTTTTATTTGAATGCATTTGAATGAAGTTTAAGATAAGATGCATGATTTGTGGCATGTTTCCATATTTAATTATATAATATTTCTTTTATAGAATTCATGATTATCTCTTCTAAAAATCATCACTCTCTCTACGAAACTTCCTCTCCCAGCATTTAACAGTTTCTCCTTCCTCTTTTTCCCTTAAACCCCAACTTTCCACAT